TGCTACACTCAGAATGAAAGAAACTCTCTCCTGTTAATGGAAGCTTTGGATTAATACAGGGGTCCCTCAAGGGACCCCAACTCTGTACTGTGCAGTCGCGGTGCTTGCTGTTGGCCGATCTAATTTCAAATGTATTTTTCTTCTTTTTTTGCGTCTTCGGTGTCGCTCACTAGCCACACTCATTCCCTGTCCCTCTGCTCTGATTCATTAACATGCCCACATCCCTACACAGCTTCTGGTACAAAGAAGGGATTAGAAACCTCCAGAAAAGCCATTCTACACGCTTCCGCCTCCACCATCCACCTAGTACCTACACGCCTTCAATTCTGCCTGCCTTCCTGGTGCAGGCCATGAAAGGTCCTGTGGTCCTCACAGCACACCCCTCCTTCCTCCACCCATCCACGCTGAACCCTTAGGCCAGCAGTTCACGCCCCATACTGTCAACCTTTCTCCTCTACTGGATTATTGTCATCAGCATTAAGACACTTCTCCCACTCTGAAAACAAAGAACAAAAAAAACTTTTAAAATGTTTACAATTGTGGGGCTGGTGAGATGGCTCAGCAGTTTAAGAGCAATGGCTGTTCTTGCAGAAGACCCAGGTTCAAATCCAAGCACCCACATGGCAACTAAAAACCACCAGCAACTCCAGTTCCAGGGGGATCCGATGCCTTCTTTCCTCTGTGGGCACTGAATGAGTGCACTTACACACATGCAGGCATAACACTCATACACATAAAATAAAAATAAAATGCATAAATAATTTTAAAAATGTTTAAAATTGTGATTAAAAACTCCATATAGGCCAGGCATGGTGGCACATGCTTTTGGTCCCGGAACTCAGGAGGCAGAGGCATGCGAGACTCTGTGAGTTCAAGGCCAGCTTGGTCTACATAGTGAGTTCCAGGCCAGCTGGGGCTACAGAGAGACCGTGTCTTAAAAAGACCAAAAAAAAAAAAAGAAGAAGCAGCACCTCCACATGACATGAAATTAAATGTAACCATTTCTAAGCAAACAGTTGAGCGTGGTAAGTTAGGGTCACATTGCGCAACCAATCTCTAGAGCTTTTCCGTCTTGCAAAAATGAAGCTCAGAACTCTGAATAGCTCCCTATTTCCTCCTGCCCCAGCCCCTGGGAACTCCACTGTACTTTCTGTATGCATTTGACATCTTAGTATTGTAAACGGTATTCCTGTAAAACTGTTGTGATGTTTCTTTGAGACTCTGCCTCTTTCCTAAGAGTATATGCTGAATTGCTGGGCTACCTGATGGCTGTTTTTTATTTTCCAAGGACCTTTCTTTCCTTAAAAAAGTTTTCCATGACAACCCCACCATTCCGAATTCCTACCAACAGTCAAGAGTTCCAGTTTCCCCACAACCTTGCTAACATTGCTATTTTGTTTTCCCTACAAGATGGCATCTCATTGTGGGGCAAATAAATCTTTTCACTCCCACTTTCCCCATTGCTATAGTCAGATCTCTTCTCCCTTAATGGCAAACTCTTCAAATGTTAACTTTACTTCCTGACTCCAAGGCCTTTCTGTCCCTCATTTCCCAAGTTGATTCCAGTAGGAATCATTTCATTTAAAAATTTCAACCCGGGGTTGGAGCGATGACTCAGCAGTTAAGAGGCCTGTTCTTGTAGAGAACCAGAGTTCAGTTCTTGGCACCCACATGGCACTTAACAGCCACCTGTAATTCCAGTTCCAGGGGATCTGACACCCACTTCTGGACATTGTAGACATTGCATGCATGTGGGATATTTACATACATGCAGGCAAAATAAAAAATAAACCAAATTATTTTTTAAAATTTCAACCCAGCTAGGTGTGATGGGACACACCTGTAATCCCAGCAAGTTTGAGGCTATCATGGGTTACATAGTGAGTTTCAGGTCAGCCTAGGCTACAGTGTGAGACCGTTTCAAAAAACTAGGGACTAGAGAGATGGCTCAGTAGTTAAGAGCACATGCTGTTCTTGTGGAAGACACAGGTTTGGTTCCCAGCTCCCACATCCGGCAGCTCACAACCACCAAATGTCCTCGTCTGGCCTCTGTTGGGCCCTGGGTGAATGGGGTCCCTATACGTACACTCAGGTATACATGCATACACATAAAATAAAAAGCAACTCACTAAATAAGAAAAAAATTCAAACCAAAGCACATCTCTTCAGTCATACTTCCAGGTCCTTTTCTCTTTCACTACTAGCTCTTAAGCCCTTCTAACACTGTACCAAGTCCTTATTCATTCTGTTTTTCTGTTCCCTCCTCCCCTGCCATTAGAGCCTCAATCCCACAACCTGCCTTATTACTAAATTGTTAAATCTAAAGACCCCTCCCAGTAACGTTTGTCTACTCTAAGCGCTGAACATGGTTAGTTACTCTTCTTTTTAAGGCACTTGGATATTTTAAATGAGAAATGCCCCCCACAGCCTCCTGTGTTTGAATACTTGGTCCTCAGTTGGTGGTGCTATTTGGGGAAGTTATGGAAGCTTTAAGACGTATAACCTTGTTGGAGGAAGTACATCACTGGGGGTGGGCTTGGAGAGTTTATAGCCTCACCTCACTTCCAATGGGCTCTCTGCTTGCTGCATGTGGTTGGAAATATGCTCTCTTGGCTTCCTGCTGTCATGCCTTGCCCTTCTATTATGGACTTTACCATTCTGGAATCATAAGCAAACACTCTTTTTCCTTAAGTTGCTTTCGGGCATGATACTTTATCACAGCAACAAAACGTGACTAGTATAGGACTTTCTCCACAGGCTTCCATGAGCCTACATTTTGTGGTTTTCTTCCCATCCCACCAGCTCTTTTCTCCTTTCTTTTGTTAGTTCTTCCTCACCACGCTAGCCTTTTTGTGTTGAGGTCTTAGTGGGCTCTTGGATCCTTCTTTTCCCCATATGTGTTAATTTCTCTGATGATCTTCTGGTTGCCATGGCCTGAAGTATTAACTCTATATCAAAGATTGCCAGTTTTATGTCTCCATTTTAACTTTGTCCCAGATCTCCAACTTGACTGTAGGTGACTATCTAATATCTCCACTAGGATGTCTAGATGGCATCTTCAAGTTGACACATTCAGCTCCTCAACTCTACCTTCTCTATTTCAAAAACCCTTATGCGACCTGTGGCCTCCTAGCTCAAATCCTCAGAGTTAATTATGACTTTTTCTTTCCTAGACATATTACAGTGTGCTGCTAAGACCTGTTGGTTCCACCTTCAAATGCATCCCAAAACTGTTCACCACTCCTCACCTCCATTCTGCTCCCTCACCTAACCTACAGCCACCTCTTGTCTCCTCTAGATTAGTTCTCCTCCAACTTTGTTCCTTCCAGCCTCTGCTCAACACAAGGCTCAAGGAGACTTAAATGTTACTAGTTTAGTGCCTGTTGTGTGCCTATTTATTCAAAGGGTTTGGAGTGAAAGTCAGTAGCCTTTCCTGTCCTCCGAGGCGCTGCCCAATTTCACTCTGTTCCCTTTCACTCTGGCCTCTCTACTCCTGCTCAGGACCATGACATTTGATGTTCTCATTATCTGGAATATTCTTCCCTTAGACTCTTGTTATATAATCTCACCCAAGCCATTCTGTTTTAAAATTCACCAAGCACACCTCTTAGTTGCACTTCTCAGCAGCCTCCCCTCTTCATTGCCTGCCCCAGCTCTTCTTGCTTTCTAACATTCTATAGTGCATACTTTGTCCCCCCCCCATTACGATATTAGCTCCAGGAGGGCAAAGGTCATCTCTTTTTTGTCAGCTTTATTCCCCACTGCATTCTCAAGCAACTAGAGGAATGTCTGGTATGAAACAGGATCACAGTATGTATTTGTTCAATGAATACAGTAATGAATATAGACCAGTAAGATAACTAGCAGTTGGAATACTATTTCTCCATGAATATTATTAGTCTACCCTAAAAGTAAGTCCAGGAAAAAAGTCAGGATATGGATTTCACATATGTTAACAGCAGAATATAAGACCTGAAGTGTGGCCCATGGATCCGCAGTGATGCCTCATCTGGGGGCTCCTTAGATGCAGAATCCCACATCCTGCCACAAAACTGAAACAGAGCAGGCATTTTGATGAGCCCCCAGGAACTTGAAAATCTTGGGGGTTGAGCAATGACCCTTGAACTGAACTGGGTGCTAGACTCTGAGAATCTTTCCAAACTTCTGATGCCTGGGTTCCACTCCTAGAAACAGATTTGATTCTACTGGAGTGGGGTCCATATATAGGTTACTGGTGAAGAGAAGTAGACTGGTTTATTGTATTTTCATATTGTATCTACATCTGTTCCCTCTTACCCCCTCCACTGCTGTCCATCTTTCTGACCTAACCTAGTGCCAGGTACAAATGACTTGCTGATCTGATATCATCAACCAGTCTTGGCCTAATTGCATAGATACAAATTTCAGCTCCTTGTGTGTGGTTTCAGGGGAGACCTTCACAGTGGTGGCTGCCTATTTCTGTCTCCATCCAGACCACCTCTGACAGTCTACTATAGGAAATCAACACCAAGAAGCTTGCCAGGTGCTTGGAGAATGTCCCTGCTCTCTTTTCCAGTGGGAGCCAGTGATTATTTGTGAGCTGAGTGCTCAACAGAGAGTGTGGAGAGCTTCAGGGTTCATCTCCAGGTAGACATAGGAAAGACCCTGTCTAGAAGAGTCCACAGAAGACAGGATGTGGACGTTTCTCTGTCTGTACCCTTCACGCAGGAGGCTCATGGATTTCAACTCATCAGCCTCTGCATTTTCCTACATCTACTGCCTGGTGCTGTTGCTTTCTGGGTAGAGTTACTGTAAGGATGTGTTATACAGCTATCCTCTGAATGTAATCCAAATACGAATCTTAAACACGAACTTGACTCTGATGCTCATTTCCCAAAGCTGCACAGAAAGGTGCGGAAGCATGAAAGAGTAGCAACAGTTAGCTGATGTCCAGGAAAGATCCTGGAATGATATAGAGAGCATTTCTAGATTTTTCACTCATCAGTTGGACTCTCTTGCAGATCAAGCCTCGGGTACTTATGACTCCCTTGGCCCTGTCACCCCCACGGAGTACCCCAGAGCCTGACCTCAGCTCCATTCCTCAGGACGCAGCCACCATTCCCAGCTTGGCAGCCCCACAGGCGCTCACAGGTAGGTCAGTACTATTCTCCCAGTCACCAGGGCTGGCCATAGGGACTGCATAGGGACTGTTTTCTTCCTTATAGCTCAGCTCAGGCATTACCTTCCAGAAAGCCCTCACTGCCTGCTTTTCCTGCCAGTATCCTAGCGTGAGCATTCTTTGCTCTTCCCTCAGGTCTCTCACAGCCTGAGGTCTCATCTCAGCACCTGGCAGGGCAGGGTCCACATCATTACCCACTGTTTCTCTTTGTGCAAAGTGACTGGCACAAAGGCCTGTTATAAATTACTTTCCTTATCATCTGGGATTAGGGAAGGAGGGCAGCCCCAGGGAGTGAAAAGAGCCCTTGTGTTCGAGGAAATCATGTCTAATTCCCTGTTGCACCAGACTGCAGATCTGAGCCGTCTTCTGAGTGCTTCAACCTCTCTGTTTCTTCATCAAAGCGGTCATAACAGCAACCAACTCAGGCTTGCTTGAGAACATGGGAGCTGTATGCCATTGCTGTCCTGTTTAACGTTCCCAAAGTCCTGCTGCTCAGCTCTTTATTCCCCCAATATTTTTTACTTTTCTTTTATGTATATGAGTGTTTTCCCTGCATGTGTGCAGTGTCCACGGAGGCCAGAAAAGGGCATTGGAACCTCTGGAACTAGAGGTACAAATGGCCTGAAAAAGGACTTACAAGGGCTGGCAAGACGGCCCAGTGTGTAAAGGCACTTGCTGCCAAGCCTGATGACCTGAGTTTGGTACCCAAAACCCACACGGTGGAAGGAGAAAACAGACTCCCTCAAGTCATCCTTCAACTTCTACACATGTGCCATGGCATGCCCATGCACATACAAGTAAATGCACACACATGTGCACACACACACAAAACTACAAACAAAATGTAAAAAAGGACTTATAAGCTACATATTTTCTTTTTGAATTTCAAAATTCATAAAGCTCTCCTGTGATTTGATGAAATTTATTGAACAGGGAAAATCAATTTTGTAGACATTCTGACAGTTTTCTGTTGATTTATGTTACATAAATTATGCTTTCCTAGCCAGGTGGGGTGATGCACACCTTTAGTCCCAGCACTCAGGAGGAAGAGGCAGGCGGATCTCTATGAGATCGAGGTCAGCCTGGTCTCCCTAGTGAGTGCCAGATCAGTTGGGGTTACAGGGACACTCTGTCTCAAAAAGACACCCCCCAAAAGATACTTTTCTATAAAAAGGACACAGTACAGTTAAAAATGTAAATGAATGCAATTTAGGATATGTGCTCAAAAATTTATGGTGAGACATTTATCTTGAAAACATGGGGACACTAATGGTCACTGAACATTATTTTCAGAGATTTTAAGTAGCACTCCCTTTAGAACTTCATACAGGGTCTGGGGTGATTAGTAGTATGGCAATATTTTATTCGTGCAAGTCCACAAAGAAATGACTAGCTTTATGTATATGGGGCCTGTAGCTCCTTGGAGGATGACAGGGAATGTTTTATTGTGTACTTCTTCGGCCTGGAAATACATGTGGTCCATATGGGCCACTGTAATTTTCTCAGAAGGGACTCAGCTGCCTCTCTGCCTGCTGATGGAAGGCCCCTTGAGAGCTTGCTGTCAATTGGGGTGTTCAGCTTTTTTGCCCCTTTAACTTCTCAGACTCAGAGGAATGGGTCCTCCTGTGTCTGCCCTGTCCATCTTTTCCAAGGCCAGGACCAGATACAGGCTTGAAGTGCCCCCAGGTGTCCAGCAGGCCTGATGCACTTGCAATGCCAGGGCATTGTGTTCTCTGTCTCCACAGTGTGCCTCTATGTTAACAAGCAGGCCAACGTGGGGCCGTACCTGGAGAGGAGGAAGCTGCAGCAGCTCCCGGAGCGCCTGGGGCCTGAGAGGCCCACAGCTGTCCTGCAGCAGGCCGTGCAAGCATGCATCGACTGTGCACACCAGCAGAAGCTGGTCTTCTCCCTGGTAAAGCAGGGCCACAGCGGTGAGCTGGTGTCAGGTGAGGCCCTGGGGCAGGTGTGGAATGAGGGTTGCAGGGTCTCTGCAGAGGAAAGCAACCATTCAGGTGTGGGTTCAGTAGGTGTGGCCAGGGCCTGTCCTCCATCTGCTGGGATCCAGAGCCTCTGCGAGCTTGTGAGTAGAAGGCTGTTCTCAGGGCTTGAGAAGTTTCTTCCAGTCCTGGACTGCAAGACTAGATTCCTGAATCCTCATCCTTGACTCTCTGTCTCCCATCCCCCACTTCCAACTCCCAAATAAGTTTTTTTGTGTTACTTTCAAACACATCCAGAATCCAACCACCCATAGCAACTACTGTGGTTTATTAAAAAGTTAGATCATACCCCTTCTTCGCCCTAAACTCTTCGTTGCCTCCTTTGTCTGAGTAAAACTCATATCTTTACAAGGACTGATAGACCTCTGTGAGAGGGTCCTGGCTCCCTGTTCAAAGACTAGGCGGCTTCTTTCTCATTTCCGGTTGGGTGGCTTCCCTTCTGTTCTTCCTGTACCCTTCAACTGTGCTCCACCTCAGGGCCTTTGCACTTGCTGCTTCTTTCTGGAATGCTTTTTTGGTTTCTGTTCAGGTGCTACCTTATCAGATCCTCTCCTCTCCTGGCCTGGAGCTACCCTATTGCTTTTTCATAACACTCACCACGAAGAACAGTGGGGAAAGCTCATGCATTTGACCCGTGTCAGGGGGCAGCCTCGGGATCAGAGAGATTTTATCAGATCCTCTCCTCTCCTGGCCTGGAGCTACCCTATTGCTTTTTCATAGCACTCACCACGAAGAACAGTGGGAAAAGCTCATGCAATTTGACCCGTGTCAGGGGGGCAGCCTCGGGATCAGAGAGATCGCTCCTTTATTGGGAAAGTCCTCCCCCAGTGTTGGCCCCCACTTGCCAGCTTTTAGAGAGAATTAATGGACAGGGCTGTAGTCCTGAGACCGCTGCCCTCACTATGCAACTATTTTCCATATCAACCCAGATTTATCTAGGCAAAGTTATCTAGGCAAAGGACAGTGTCCACACTAGGAAGAAACTGGTCCTTCCAATATGAGCCTCTTGCAGCATTAAAATGAAAAGCAGGTGCCAAATAGAAGCCACAGGAGCTACAAAACCCAGCCTGGGTCCTCTCTCCAGCTAACTTGTCTGTAACAGGCACAGGACAAGAGCCTTCAGTCCCAACCTCACAGGCTGAGCAACAGCCTGTGAGTACCGAAGGCCTTATCAAATTTGAGAGAAATGGATTCTTTTAATTCCTAGTTACTAGCTGTGGTAGCCACTGCCATCTACCAACCTTCGGTAGATACAGTATAAATAAACAGGCTGCCCACTAGGAGTTGCTGTGAGTTGGGGAAACCTAGGCAGGAACAGAATGCCCTCTCTGGGGTTTCCAGTGTGCCCTTTACACTGGAGCTGGTGTGTAGTTCTGGGGTGAGGGGGTTGTGAGGAAAGAGACAGGAAGAACCCAGCTCAGTGCTATAGAAAACTGGTGCTGCTCCTCCATTCTGGCTACTGTCTAGAAGTGGAATTCAAAATCACTATAGAAAGCTGAGGCACATTGAACAACAAAATAAGTAGTGTAGTACCGGACAAGTTGTGAGCTAAAACAGATGTATTAGAATTGTTCTGAGATTAATAAAATGACTGAATAGGGAAATCAATGGGCAAGACGGGACATGTCTTCCATGCAGAAGAAGTCAATGTAGCATCCCCCACGCCCACTTCAGAAGGTGGTGACTAGTCCTTCCTTGGGTGTGCGCAGGCTTAGTGACTGGGTTCAGGGACTAGAATATGGAGACCAGGGTAGAGGAGTGTGGTACACATCCCCAGTGGTGCCATGTGGGTATCATATTCCCCTGTTTGATGAACTGTGAAGGGCATTTTGTCTCTGTAGTCTTTTTCTCCTCTAAATCCTCTAAATCCTCTAAATCTAAGTCATGAGAAAAGCATTAGATAAATCCAAATAGAGGGACATGTCTCACAATACCTGATTATAGTCGTGAGAAACAAGAGAAGGGAGAGGACCTGTCACAGAATGAGAAGACAAAGGTATATGACAATAAATGCAGTGTTCCGTCCCAGATGGTATCCTAGAACAGAAACAGGGCATTAGTGAGTCAGGTGTAATTCAATACAGCTCACTTAGAAATCAAATAAAAATGAATGCATGCACAGAAGCCCTTCCACTGGCCGGTTGACTGGCCCTGCTCTCTAGTGCCCAGCTCAGAGTTGCTGTCTCTGATTTTCCAGTCTCTGCTTCCTTTGATGGAAAACAGCATCTGCGGAGTCTGCCTGTGGTGAACAGTGTGGGCTATGTCCTCCGCTTCCTGACCAAACTGTGCCGCAGCCTCCTGTGTGACAACCTCTTCAGCCACCTGCCCTTCCCCGGGAATCCCAGTGCCTCTGAGAGGGCCCAGGAAAGAGAAGATAGGAGAACAGAGTCAGGTAAGGCAGAGCTGGTTTCCTCTGCTGAAGGGGAAGGTTGGCAGATGAGGCAGCTGCTGAGGAGGGCTCTGATATCCTGTTGGAGGCCCATGTCTGCCTCTCTGGCAGCCAAGAGTATTCCTGGCTGGCTGAAACTTAGGTGTCCAGATCATTCCCACCCATACTGCAGGGAGACATGGTCATTCCAGCTCCTGAGAGCTTCGAGGTTGGTGTGTTAGAATTTAGACCGTGACACCATATCACATCTTCTAAGTGATTGTTCTTCCCTGTAAAGATACTCTCGGTATTTGCTCATCATTGTTGAGTACTGAAGAACTCTGAAACTAAGGAACTAAGCAATCTCAAAGAATCTAAGCAAAAAGACAGACGTAGTCTTTTTGTCTGCAGTCTCCTGTGTCTCTCTTGAAGTGATATAACCAAGTGATGTAACCAACACTGTAGGAATTTGAATGGGTCATATATCAGCTATATCTTCCCATGAGAGCTGGTGCTTCCCTTTGAGCACAGGGTGGAAAGTGACCTAATTGGGTACCGCAGCCACAGAATAGCTCAGGATGAAAAAGTGGGCAGGGAAGGGCAGTGGTGCAGTGTCTGCCTAGATAACCAATGGCAAGTGCTTCCTCCTTCCTTAGCAGGCTAGAGTCATGGATCTGCAGAGTTCAGTATGAATGCCCAGGAAGAGCAGGGACGTTGGCGTTTTTCTTTCTGTGTAAGCAGTGTTGTTGATTGAGGAAAAGCACATGGGTAACAACACCAGGACTGAGCCACTGTGTTTGTTAGTTTCTTTCCCTGTGACTGTGACAAAATGTCTTAAAAAAAAAAAAAAAAAAACAAGGGAGAAGGGGTTTATTTTGGCTCATAATTTCAGGATACAGCCCATCATGGTTGAGAAATAAGGCAGCAGGAACTTGAAGCACATGGTCACCATTGTATCCACGGTCGGGAACCAGAGAGCAGTAAATGCCCAATTTTCCTTTTTTTGCTTTATAAAGCCCGGGAGCCCTTGCCAGGGAATGGTGCTGCTCATAGTTAAGATGGGTTATCCCACATCAATAAACACAGTCAAGATAATCCCTAACAGGCATGCCAAGAGGCCTAGCTCCCAAGTGATTCTAGATTCCATCAAGTTGATAACTAACACTACCCACTGCATGATTATTCTGAAAATATTTGTCCAATCCTCCTCTGTCCTAGGCACTGTGTAAGACTTTGTCTTGGTTGAAACAAAGGTATAACATTAGGAGTTTTTTGAGGAATAAAATGACTATTACAAATAAAAAAGTGTTCTATCTCTAGGCCTGTGCTCACAGAGTTCGTATGTGTGACTGCCCTGTTGTGTCCAGAAAACACCATTTCGTTGCAGTCATCCACTACCTCTGACTCTTACAGTCTTTCCCCTCTGCCTTCTGCAGTGAGCCCTAGCCTTGGAGGGAGGGATGTGATGTATAGGTGTCCCTTTGGGGCTGAGCACTTCACAATCTCATATTCTCTGCACATTGACAAGTTGTGGATCTCTGTGTCAACTGCCATCTGCTGCAAAAGAAATTTCTCTGATGTGGTTTGAAAGAGGCACTAACTTATGGGTATAATGGCAAGTCATTAGGAGTTGGTTTAATGCTACGTCCATTTAGCAGAATAATAGTAATATCAAGCCCCCTAGAGCTTATGACCTATCCAACCTAGGTATGGATTCCATCTTGTGGAGCAGATCTTAATCTAATCAGAAAATAGGGGTTGTTCTCATGACATTGGTGCCATTATTGTCCCAGTGGGCATATCTTACCAGGCTGGTCATTATCATAGCTTGCAGGGTTCACAGCTGGATAAGATTAATGATTAATTTTCTCCTCCAGTAGTGGGCACAGCATCTTCCAACACTAAGAAGGCCAGCCAGCAGGGAAGAAGCCAGTACAAGCTTGACTTCTCCATGTTCTATGATTCAAATATGTGGTGTCTTCAGAAATATGATCTTACTGTCAAATTCTAGAGGGCAACTAAAAGCAAAAGCAATAGCTTATAATATTTGGGGGTCTGTGGGCACTCACTGGCCAACAACTTCACAATCGGTGACCCATTTCTGGCACTGGGATTTTTATTTGTTAGCCTATGGTGTCTAGTAGAGGCATTGTTATCCTGTTATAGGCAACTCAATTTAAATTATTTTTAAATTTTTTAAATTTTCCTATGTATATGAGTGTTTTGTATGTAAGTGCACCCATGCACGCAATGAGGAGAGAAGAAGGTCAGAAGAAGGTGTCAGAACCCCTGGAACTGGAGTTAGGGACAGCTGTTAGCTGCCATGTGGTGCTGGGAACCAAACCCTGGTCCTCTACAAGAGCACCCAGTGCTCTTAACTGCTGAGCATCTCTCCTTAAATTCTTTTCATATGTGTATAAGAGGACACAAAGTTGGGTAGGTAGGGAAGGGGGATGGATCTGGGATGAATTGGGGGAGAGGGGTGAATATCCTGAAAATACAATGTATGAAATTCCCAAAGAATTAAGAACAATGTTTTAGAGGTACTTATAATAAAAATGACAGTAAGAGGTCAGGTGTCCTGACACATTGCAATAATCCTAGCACTCAGGAAGTAGACGCAGGAGGATCATGAATTTGAAGCAAGCCTGGACTATACAGTGATGCTGTCTTTAAAATGAATGAATGAATGAATGAATGAACAAGTGCTGCATCTCAAGCCCAGTAGAGAAGGATTCATTTAGAACCTTAGTATAGGTTTTCTTGGGGACTATCAAGAACTTTGCCTACACTTTTGCTTTGATCCCTCTGAGATCCTGGAAACAGGAAGAAATTTGGCCTTTATATAGAAAAGTACCTAACCAAATATGAGTGTGTGCAGAAGCCATGCAGTTCTATGCTTTTCTTCAAGTCTCTGTGTGAGCTCCCTCCCACCCTCCCTTTCCCTCCTTCCCTCCCTTCCTTCCTTCTTCCCTCCCTCCCTCCCTTCCTTCATTCCTTTCATTCTTTCTTCTTTTGGTGCTGGGGTACCAGGGCCTTGCCTTGTACATGCTAGTTAAATGTTCTACCCTTGAGTCCCTGGGGTCCCTGCAGTCCTTGGGCTTTTGAGGTAAGGTCTTGCTATGTAGCCTAGACTGGTCTAGAACTTGTGATCCTCCTGTATGTTGAGATTACAGGGGAGTGCCACCACACTGGCCATCCTACCCTCTCTCTGCTGAAGCCTGTTCTATGGAATGGACCTAAGGCATATCTTGCCAGGCCAGACATTGTTCAGCTACCTTTCTTATACAGCCTAGGCTCACCTACCTAAGGCTGGTGCTGTCCATAGTATCCTGGGCCCACCTACATACATCAATTAGCAATCAAGAAAATGCCCCACAGGCCAGTCTGATGTAGGAAATTCCTCAATTGAGGTTCCCTCTTCCCAGGTGACTCTAGTTATGTCAAACTGACAACTGAAGCTAACTATACACCTTGTCACCATTCTTTTGCAGGGCAACATATCAAGTTTTGATTGTAGTGAAGAATAAGTTAGTTAATCATCTCTTTCACATTGTTGTGATCAGAAGGCCCAGAGAGGAAAGGAGTAGAAATTATTTTGAGGTTAGGACCACACTGCTCCTAAACAATACTGCCAGGCTTTGAGGTCATTTGAACCAGGACAATGCCTGGTTCCACTCCTCCCCAAGGTATTGGATCAAAGCTAGAGAGTCTCAGGCTTGGTGCCACGCCCTTAGAGGATTTGTTAGTACTCACTGGAACATTTTCCAAATACAGATAATCTGTTAATAAAAAATACAAAGCCAGGCCAATAAAAGGGCTATCAAAAGAATTAGCATGTTTGTAGATGACAGAAAGAAAGATTTGGGCAAGACCATTCTCTGGGCCAGTCATGGGGCTGTGTTCTCTGTGGCTGAAGAGCACTTTGAAGAGTCTTTTTGCAGGGTGGGAACAAATGGTTTGCTTTTGTTGAGTACCTTTTTGATGCCCAGATGGTGGGGGTGGGATGTTTTAAAACATGAGCCTGTGGTTTCAGATACAAATTGTGACATGAAAACTGTGAGATGCGGTCATTTCAAAACCTCCAGGGATGCAGGGGTCGACTCCATTGGCCTCTCTGGGTATTCTGCTAGACTGATTGGGTCCTGAGCCTCCTTATGACAGGCCCTGAGGAAACTGCTACACATTGTCCAGAGTGGTGCCTATGGCCATGCCTCAAAATTGGAACTAAAGTAGCAAACGGTGCCAAGAGCAACTGAAACAGCCTAGGGCACTGGTAGGCTTCTAAGATGAGCTTCACAAACTCCTATTAATGAGTACTTTCTGAGTCTCATACATGAGCAATAGACATCTGCTGGAGAATAAGTATTCCTATCAACTTCTTGTTGGAGAGTTGGACTACAAACTGAGGTCTACAGCAGATACATCCTAGCTGCTGTGGAATGATTAAAACTTTCAGTGAATGAAACAAATTCTCTTCTCACATTTGTATTAGTTATCTGTTCTGTGTAACAAATTACATTCAGAGCTCAGTGGATGAAATAACATTATCTCACAACTTCTGTGGGTTTTCAGTTGAGGACCTTGCAAGGCTCAACCATTCATGTGGCTGTTGGCAGCATTCAGTTTCCCTGGAGTTTTGGGGCTCTTCATAGGACATTTCACAACACCAGTGTGAGTTCTACAGCACCCATCCTCTTAGCCACAGTTTTGCTTGCTTGCTTGTGTGTGTGTGTGTGTGTGTGTGTGTGTGTGTGTGTGGCTGGGCTGAACCTAGGGCCCTGCACATGCTAAGCTAGCACTCTGTAGCACTGAACACATCCCCATCCCCCACAGTTTCACTTTTCATGGTTTTAGATACCTGTGGTTAAGCACAGTCTGAAATTATTAAATGGAAAATTCCAGAAATAAATAGTTCATACATATTAAGTTGCATAGCTGAATAGTATGGTGAAATCTTACTCTGTTCCATCTAGGACATGAAGCCTCCCTTTGTCCAGTATATCTACACTGTATCTGTTCCC